CACCACAGGTAGGTAGGTGGGTAGGTAGGTAGCTGGCTGTCTCCTCTCATATCCTTGGCACATGAGGAGAAATCTGGGAGTATTATTCTGGGAAGGCAGTGAGTGTGCTGGGCCCTACCCTAGTGGAGAGGTATGATCCTTAGAGGCTGGGAGTGAAGGTGGGGAGGGAGAGTCCTTCAGTAGGTGTGGAGAAGGAAAGGGATGCTAGTTTGGTGTCTGGCACATAGTATGCACTTGTCAATGGTGAGCGGAACGTGTGGCATAGTTTATGGTGGATCTAGAGCCAGCCAGATGAGGCTGGATTCTGGTTTGACCACTAACTCCTCTGTGCTTCACACAAATCCCTTGATGTCCCAAACTTTAAGGACACAAGTGTCTATAACAGGCAGGACTCTTCTTTACAAATATCAGAAGCCATACTCCCACTAGCTTAAACCAAAAAGGAAATTTCTAGCTCACACAGCCAGGCGGGGCACTGCAGCAAAAGCCGGGACCTTGGGACAGGACCCAACGTCTCCAAGACAATTTTTCTCCTCGTCATTGCCTGACTTCTGCAGACAGGCTCTGTCCACATGGCAGGGAAGATGGCCATTTGCCGCCCAGTTCAGGTTTGGAGAGAGGGCTTCTCTCTCTCAGCATCAATATCTTCATGTCAGAGAAGGCTTTGATTGGTCCTGCTTTGGTCCCAGCCAGACCTAGGTCACAGGCCTGGTCCTATGTTTGGGGAAGTGGGTGGTGTTACCAGGAGCAGGGGGGTAGGAAAGCCAGGTGGGCAGAGAGAACAATAATTATAGTACCAACAGTGCCTAAAGGTCACATGTGTATGTATGTGTGTGTGTTGGGGAAACTAGAGTTAGGGGAGCCCCTGAAGATGGAGCATGCAGGCAGGACCACAATCAGGCTTGGCCTGTTCACAGTCAGGACTGTTATTAGGTACCAGTCATTCAGCTCTACTACACGTTAGGCTCTGTGTCAGGCTAAGGATATGTCATATATATATGCATAGCATTTCTTATTGTCACAACAGCCCTAAGAAGTAGGTATGATTAGCCCCGTTTTAAAAGTGAGGAGACCAAGGTTAAGGTCACGTGGGCAGTGAGTGACTGAGACGGATTCAAAGTTGGGACTTTGGCCCCCAGATCCCATGTTTTTGCCCAGGGATCAGACTACCTCTTATTTGTTTTTATTTATTCATTTATTTTTGGCCGCACCATGCAGCTTGTGGGACCTTAATTCCACAACCAGGGATCGAACCTGGGCCCTGGCAGTGAAAGCGCCGAGTCCTAACCACTGGACCACCGGGGAATTCCCAGACGGCCTCTTTAGAAACCAAAGTGAAAAGCTTGCTGGCCGGTTGCATAGAGCGCATTCTGAGCCCCACAGGTGTGGTCTTGTCTGGGCGTGGCCACATTTTCAGGCCCTTCCCAGCTGTACACCTTCTTGGCTCCCACCTGCCCTATAGGCCCTTCCAGGCCATTGGAGACAACAAAGCACTCTGGGTAATCCATGAGTTTCTTCACCAAATGGCATTTCTCCAAGGCTTGATCCCCCAGTCGGTGACCCTGCTTAGAATTGTCTAGAGTCTAGCCTGCTGGGTGAGGGGAAATGGAAAAGGGGGTGTTTGGAGGGTGACTGGCATGGTGAAAAACAAGGGGCGTCATCTCTCTCCTGCCTCTGTGTTGCCCTCTCACCCACTCAGCACACCACACCTAGAGCGATCCTCCCAGAATACCATCCCTCCTGCACCCACTCCGGCTCAGAGCCTCAATGGCTCCCCTGTGCTCACCCTCATAACGGAGGCCTCCTGGTGTCCCCCAGACCCAGCCCCCCTCCACCAACTTCTCCAGCTTTCTCTCTTACCGCTGTCCCTCACACTCAGGAAGGCAAGAGACAACAACAGTACAGCCGTGCCTATATGTGGCTATTTGAATTTAAATTAATTGAAAATTGATGACATTATTGTTAAAAATTCAGTTCCTTGGTCACACTAGTCACATTTCAAGTGCTCTTGGGGCTAATGGCTACTGTACTGAACGATGCAGATACAGAACGTTCCTATCATCACAGAACGTTCTATTGGGAAGCACTGGGTTAGATTTTTCTCTTACAAAGGAAGCCCTGATCAAGGAACGCTGTGAGTTTTAGAGGGATCCAGGGTAGACTTGACCTATTCAGTGACTCTTCCAAGAAATATTTGGCACCTACTCTATTCCAGGCCCTGGATACACAATAGTGGGCAGTTGTAGCAGTTGGTCCTTTGGAGTGAAAAAGCAATTGCTCTCAGATGTGTTAAGTGCTTGAGCCCAAGCTGGGGCAGCCGGGAAGGCTTCCTGGAGAAGGGGACATGTAAGCACAGATCTGCAGTCTGAGGAGCCACTAGTGAGGCTGAGTTGCTCTCCAGACCACGTTCTTTTTGGCCCTCTGGGTCCCTTATCACAGACTGTCCCCACTGCCTGGACTACTCCTCTCTTTTTTCGCCAGGGAGGGAAGGAATGAGACTAGTCCCCTTAAAGTCAGTCCCCCAGCTGGGACTAAGCAGAGTCCCTGTTGAGCCACTAACTCCCGAGCTCTGTGCTGTGGCCTCTACTTCACCTCCCACAGGCCACGTGGCTTCAGGGCTATGTAAATTCAGGACTCGGTAAAAACAGGCTCTAGGGTGGAGGACTCCTCCAGAGAAGTCAAACCTGGACGTCTGGTGGGGGATGCAGGAGTCTGACTGTATGCATTACCAAACGCAGGTTCTGCGGCTCACCGCTCAAAAGCCAATAATTTGAGAGGCAAGCGTCAGTAGAAAGGAAAGTTACTTTAATTAGAAAAGCCGGCAATCTGGGGAGAAGGTGGATTCATGTCCAGAGACCAACTCTATAGATTCTGCTCAGCCATGACATTTTTTAACGGGAAAAATGAGGGGGAAGAATCTCAGTGAATCATCGAGGCAGGAGGTTGGGTTCTGCATCATTCTCCACTGAGTGCAGACTGGCTGACTCTTCAGGTGTGATCTTGCCTGTGTGATCTGCCTGCAGGATTGCTAAAGGGGCAATTGCGGATAGACAGTCATTTTTTAACTGCTTAATTCTTTATTCTTCCTTCTTTTAATTTAGAAAAAGAATCAACAAGTTAGACAAGGCATGGTGTGCATTCAGGAGAGATCAGAAGTTCGTTTCAATTGCTTAGTGATCTCATTCCTATAATTAGGTTATTTTAAGGTTAGAGGGGAACAGAAATGGGCAAACAGGAAAGCGACAAAAGAGCTACTTTCAATTCCCCACTGTCAAATATCATTCCATTTCTATGGGACTACGGGCGACGGTCTATCTTCTGTAACTTCTTCACACTGACAGAGGGCACAGTATTCTCAAAATGGAAGATGTCAGCCTGGGTCTGTAGCATCTCTTTGCGGACAATTTTACTTGCCCGCTTACATATACGGGCAGAGCAAGCTACAATCATTTTGACGCCCACAAAGACATAGACTATTATGAGCAATGATGTTAATCCTGTTCTCTTCTGGCCAGCTCCTGGAATTGTACTAGCCATAGATTCCGTACTGCTCAAGATGGAGCAGCTTATGTCATGGCTACAATGTGGTCATCATACAGTTACCATTCTTCCTCTGGTGGCAGTTACAGTATCCGTAAAACAACTCAGGAATGTGCATCCAACACTGAGTCTACGACACTATTGTCCTGATCATTAACTGCTTGGTTTAGTACTGGGTTGCGGGGAGAACTGCAGGGTTCTAATCAATTCCATATGTACCCTGAGGCCCCCCTCCAAGGTGGCCCCCCACATTCTCCAGCCCTGAGTTCCTACCTGAGTCAGCCCGGGGAAAGTGTAGAGTGGCCACTCCCATCCACCGCCTAGAGGGAGCCAGGGCTGGCTAACCGAGCAGAGGGAGGCTGTCTTGGGGCCCCATCCCCACATACGGTGCACAGCAGTGCCCACCCTCACCCCGCCCTGTGCCAGCTGCCCACCCCGCTCTTCCTCCTGGTGCCCTGCTGTGTGAACACTGAAAGTGGCAGTTTGCTGACTGGAATTCACATGTTCATTTGGGAAAGAAGGACCAGAGTGCAGCCCGTTAGGCCCTGCACTGTCCTCCCCTTCCACATGGACCGCTTCACTCAAGCTCCCCAACCATAGGATCACTGGTCGGGACAATTATCTTCACCTCTGTTACAGAAATTAAGGTCGGGAGAGGGTAATTTGCCAGAGCCGGCAGGGGTGAAGGCGACCATCAACGCTCTCAGCCCAGCCTGGACCCCATAGCGTCCACCCAGCCTCGTGTTTGCATTTCACCGCTTGCCCGCGGGGCCACCCTCCCTCACCACCTCCCCGGGGCTCCCTTGCTCGCACCCCGGCGCCCAGGGCCTCGGGGGGATCGGGAGCCTCCCCGCCCGGCCTGGGCGCGCAGGGTCTGTCGGGGCAGAGCCAGGACCCCGGCCAGGGGCAGGAGTCCGAACCCTCCGTGCCAGCCCGAGCGCCGGCAGCCGCTGAGCCGCCCTTTGTTTCGCGACTTCTGCGGAGTCACGGTCACATGCGCTTCCGGCACGGGGTGTTCCGGGCGCCGCGCCAGGGCCCGGGGACGCCCCCGCCCCTCGGCCCAGCCCGCGCGGGGCCGCCCTCCTCCGCTCTCCCGCCTGCCCCGCCCGCCCCGCCCGCCCGCGGGCCAGCGGCCTATCTCTGAGCCCCCAGACCTGGAGCCTCCCTCCCCGGCCGCGCCGGTCGCGCAGCTGTGCTCCGATGGCCTCTCGTCTTCTCTGAACTCCGCGTGGAGCCTTCCATAGCGGCCTGGCGCATTCAATACCCAGATATTAACGGGGGTCCGCCCGTCTCCCCTACTCCAGACAACACCAAGGGCGCAAAATCAGGCGCCTCTCTCCCCGATGGATCGCTGTGCGGTAAATGGGTGGTGGTCAAGTACCGAACTCCATTCTTGTCGTTTCATGGGGTGGCCGTGCAACACCAAGCCTCTCTCCTCCCCCACCCCGATTCCCACAAACAGAAGGAAACAAAACTGAGCCACCCGGGGCGGCCACCACAGACCATCTAAGGGCCAAGGCCCCAGTCAGGGGCAGAAATGGGGCTGGCTCCTCTGTCCTGGCCTGGCCACCACTGCTCCGGCGCTCCCGGGCCCAGGCTGTGCCCTGGGGCACTTGCAAACCTTGGCGCCTCATGGAGGCCATCTCTGCTTCACTCAACGGAATTCAAGAATTCATTCAACAGATATTTATTGAAAGCAAACTATGTTCAGGGCGACCAAGTTCCTTCCACATGCCAGCCCCGTGTTAAGCCTCCTCCAGAATGTGAGAGGATTCCCTTTGTGTAGAAGCAGTGCCCTTACTATCCCCCTGAGGCAGGAGGCCTTCATTCAGAGCAGCTTGGGAGGCCATGCCTGTCCCCTGATTCCCAGTCTTGGAGGTGCAGCAGGGAGTGGCAGTGCCAGGCTCTGGGTGAGCATGGGGTGGGATCTTAGGGACCCTTTCTGTCTCTGGACGACCCTTCCCAATGCCTCTCAGGGAGGCGTGCAGGGACTGGGGCACGGGATGGAGGAGCGGGGGCTGGCGGGGTGGAGACCTGGGAGAGGAGAGGGAGACAGCCCGAGGAGCAAACTATGGAACCGGAGGCCGGGGTGCACGTGCGCTGTGGCGTCAGGGCTTGGTGGGGAAGAGCAAGCAGGTGAGCTGCCGGCTGCCGCTGTGTCTGTCCACGAGCGGTAGGGGGCGCTGCAGGTAGTGCTGGACCATGGCGGCCACGGAGGAGAAGAGCTGGACGGGCAAGCAGGGCATCAGTGAGCCTCATGCAGGGAGAAACTTCCTGAGGGAGCTGGGGGGCTCTGGCGAGGGAGCTTGTTGACATTTTTCTAAATATTTTCCTTCCTGTTTGCCCCATGAAGCCCCACTGCATTTTGCTGCCCAATTCCAGGCCTTTCCTGTGATGGCGCCCGTGCGCATGTTGTTGGCCGGACTCCTATTTCCCAGGCCAGATGAAATAACTTTGAGGCCTCTGCCCGGGTCCTTCCGTGTGGGGAGCTGAGTGGTGACTGTCTCTAGTTTGCAGCCTAGCAAGTGCTGGGTGCAAAGTTGAGTCCTTGGTACAGACATGAATCTGGACTACCTGGGCCCTGCCCTCCTCCCAGCTGGGTTCATACAAATGCCCCCACCTGGGCCCCATGCAGACCGGGCTCTTCACGAGGGGGTGTCTCCCCCAGAGCAGACTGGGCCTCTTCTCAAAGTGCTGGCTTCTGGGAAGGAGTTCTGGGCGCTGGCCACTGAGATTTCCACCCACTCCAGAAAAAGGCAAAAATGGGGGGCCTTCCCCAGGGCAGTGTTCCCGGCTGGGCCCAGGGGCTGCTCTGCTGTGTCTTGCCCTTCAGCCCCTACCTCTTCCAGTACCCACCTCCTCGTGGTTCCTGCCTTCCTGGCCCAGGGCGTAGTGGCGCCCGCCATCCAGCCGGCGGATGGGAATGTTGAAGACCCGGCCGTGGAGAAGTACTGCCAGGGTGAAGGGCTGAGAACCACGAGGGCCTGAGCTGGGGCGCACGGTGTAGGCCCCGTCCTGGGGAGGAGAGCCCATCGTCAACCTCACCTTCCAGCTATAGCCCTGACTCCGACCCCTGCCTGGCTGCTCCTGCCGGCTCAGCCAGCCTCAGTCCCTGGGCAGAAACGGTTTCCCAAGAAGGCGCAGGGGGCCTGAGGTGCCCCACCTTTTGGCGTCGGAGCAGGGCACTCTCAACAGCATGGCGGTCACAGTTCCCTGAGTACCAAGGCTGGCCCAGCAGATCGCCTTCCTGTACATACACACACAGCGGCTCAGCGATGTGCCAGGGCACCGGATCGGGGGTGGGAAGCAGAGAACCCCCAGGTTGCAGTTATTCGTGCTCACGGCCACTCGAGCAGAACAAAGATGTGTCCGCGCCTGGAGCTGCACACACGTGTTCAGTGGTGGACACCCACCCGAGAGGGCTTCTGGGTAGGGACTCGGGCTCTGCTCCCATGGGCCTCCCCCACCAGCCCTCTCCCAGCCCCTCCTCACCTCAGCAGCTGAGGCATTCTGGGTGGCAGCTACAGAGCAAAGAGAGGCTATCCTTCCTGCCGGAAGAAGCAGCTTATAGCCCTGGGGCTGAGAGGGGATTAGGCCAAGGAGGCTTGGGGCCCAGCTGGGAAGGTTGGGGAGGTCACAGAGGGCGTGCAAAGGCCTGAAGCCCAAAGCGGGACACCCAGTGCTTCACTCCCCCGCCCCAGGCTCTGGTAGGACCCACCGGCCAGGCCACGCGTGACCTCCAAGTGAGTGATTTTAAGGTACAGGTTGGGAGCTTCCTGATTTGGTGCAGGTCCTGGAGAATGCCCAGGGGGTCCTCTGAGACCTGCTCTCCGCTGGAGTCAGAGCTGCAGGGACCCCCTCAGTGAAGCGGGGTGCGGGGGGCTGGGAGGCAGTCTGAGGCCCGCAGGGGAGGCCCTGCCGGAGGGCTTGGGTTCATGCTGACAATGGCGGTACTCACCTTTAGAGGTGGCATTCGACGCTCCCTGGCACACAGGATGCTGGGTCAGAAGAGCTTGGCCCTGCAGGCCTGCTCCTTTGGGCCGGAAGTCCTACCCTGAGCCTCCCTCTCTCCCTCCCAGCTCAGCTCACCACCAGCCCAAACCCCCAGCCTCTTACATTCTGAGCTTCCTGGGGGGCTGTGGTGGGCCTGTGGGGAGCGAATTGGGGAACAGAGCTCAGGGGCTTTACCTCCTTCAAAAGAAAAAGTCCAGTGACCCGATCCTGGAGATCCCAGGGTCAGGGCTGGGAAGCCTGGGTAGGCCCTTCAGGCCCCCAGCACACACCTGCGGCACTCACCTGGGCCCCACTGATGTCCTTGGTAGAGGGACTGGGGGCCTCAGGACTTGGCAGCTCAGAGTCTGAGGCAAGGCCGGGACTAAAACAGAGACGGCAGGCTGAGCTGAGCACCAAGCGGGGAAATCCGGGTGACCGGGGCGGGGCAGGGGACAGCTTCTCTGCAGCCTGACTTTTGGGGAGCCCTTCCAACCAGGCAGAGCGCTGTCCTGGCTGCAACAGCTGGGAAGCCTCCCCCCCCACCCCAAGCCCTTGCTCTAAGGGGGTCCCCTCCTTGGCAGGCACTGTGTGGGGCAGCCCGGACCAGAGGCGTCCATGTGGGTGTCTGAAGGCAGATGTGTGATGGTAGGGGTGCTGAGAGAGGACAAGGGCAGGAGATGGAGCCAGGAGACTGCACCGTGCTGCCTGTGGGCAGCAGAGGGCCTCAGGGCAGGATGGGGCGGGGCGGACGGAGGGAGGGAGGGGTTCACCTGGACTGGGCTCACAATCTAGGTAAATGTCCTCCTCGGGCTTCTTTGCTGGGCCCGGCACCTAGGGTAGGAAGGGGCGTATGGGACCCAGGGTTTGACCAGTGAGTGGGAAGGAGGACGAAGCCATCACTTGGGGGAGCTACTGGCACCTCACCCCCCACCCCCACCGCGCCGCCCACAAGGTGGACCTGGAGTGATTGAAAAATGCTCCTTTGCCCGGAAGGGGGAGCCCATGAGCACCTCCCCCGTCCTGTGCTCAGAGAGAGTGAGCACCCAAGGGGAGCTCTGGGCGAGGCCCTCCCCAGAAGGACACTGGCGGACGCCCTGCCAGGGCCTGTGGCAGAGGGGGAGAGGCTCGGCTCCGGGCCTTTTCCCTGGATTTAGGGATATTTCCTGGCCCTCCCAGCTCACCCATCACCACCACCACCACCAACAACAACTTCCTAGCCAGAATCCTAGAGTGAGGGGCCACTCACCGCCCGGTCTGGTGCACCCAGCTCTGGGAGGAAAAGGAGAGACCCACCAGCCAGCAGCAGCAGGGAGAAAGAAATTCAGTGAAACTTAGGCTGGAAGAGTGGTGTATCCTTGGAACTTCTCTGAGGGGATCCTTAGAGCCAGCTGTGAAGTCCCAGGAGAAAGCCATCCTCACCCCCGATCGCCTTACTTCACACCCCCGGGGTGCCCCCCGCCTGACCCAGAGACCTCAGCAGGTGCAGAAGGGGCCCCGGAGTCAGGGACTCCGTGACCTCAGGCAAAGCATTACGTGTCTGGGGCCTCAGTCTCCTCCCCAACTGCCTGCCTCGGGGTGGGGGGTGGGGATTGGCAGGTAAAAATGCGGAACAGCTGTGGCGGATGCAGCGACCGGACAAAGCATGAGATCAATGTAAGGCCAGCTCAACTTTCCCCCGGCCCCGACCTCATGGAGGTCAGGATTCCCCTTCTCGGGGTGGGGAGTAGGTGGGCCTCGGAAGGAGAGAGGACATCCCCATTACCTCGCCTCCCAAAGGGCCAGCTCTGCTTTGTGGCCTCCGGCGGGCTCCACGCTGCCTTGGGCTGTGGGCACAACGCGGTGGCGTGAGGGAAAATCGGGTGGGGGGCTATGGAGGGGAGCTGCGGCATTGGGAGGGCAAGGCTGGCCGGGTGGGAGGCAAAGGGACTACGTATATCTGTGCAGCTTGAAAAACACTACAACACAAGCGTTAATGTGCAAAGGAGGCGGCTCTCCTCTTTGCCTCTATTCTGTGGCTCTTTCTTTGGTGTGAATGTCTCCCAGTTTTACCTTTTATTCCAATAAAATATATGATGAAAGTGGTAGCTCTCAAAGCCCACAAACGGGATCCTGGCGGGGGTGAGAGCTGGCCGCGACTGGCAGCTGAGTGAGGGATTTCTTCCCTCTGTAGGCAGGGAGGGCTGCACAGGCTTTAGGGTCCGGGAGCGGCAGCGGAGCTTCAACCGCCCCTCACCCCCACCCCACCCCCGCTCCCCTCTCCCGGCTCAGGCGAGAAAGGTGAGTCTTTGGTGATGCTGATGGGGAGGGTGCAAGGACCAGGCCAGGCAGGTGGGAGGAGCGACTGTTAACGGGGCTCTGGCTTCTGACGCAGCTAATTTTTCAGGGGCCTCTTGAATGCAGACGTGGGGGAATCTTGCAAATGAGATGCCTCTTAGATTTACTCACTGGGAAATGGTAGCCTGGGGTGGGGCAGGTGGGGAGGCTGTTCATCATCTCGGGCTGGGGCTGCAGTGGCGGTGGTGACACGGGAGGGCCTGGGGCCAGAGTGATCTGGAAAAGACCCCTGAGCATTGTGACCCGGTGGGCTCCTCCCACGTAGGTTCCAAATTTCTTCCTGCCCCCCACCCAGCCTCTGTTCCCTCCTCCCTCCCTCACTCCCCTCTGTGCTCTCTGGCTTCCCGACAGCCCCGTCTCCATGGCAACTGGAGGCGGCCAGCTTCCCTGCCCCCACCTGGCCGAGCCTGGGAGCTGTCGGGGTGGGATGCCAGCAGCTGCCGGGGCTCTCCTGGCATCCCTACCCTTGCTCCGAGCTGTGCTAGAATCTCAGAGGGGGAACGCCAGGCCCCTGGGACCCTGTCAGGCCTCCTGCTTTCCCACTGTTGCCTTGGTTACACTGCCCCTCCAGGCTCCTCTCCCCTTCCCACTCATCCTCCTTCCCTTCTCCCCTCCCTCCCTCCCTCCCTCCCTCCCTTCCTCCATCCCTCTCTCTCTGCCCAGCCAAGAGGCCTCAGTGACTGCCAGCTGAGGCCTCCCCTCGCTGCCCCAGGCCAGACAGAGGGAGACGAGGCAAGGCCTGGGCCCTCTTCCCTTGTGGGGACCCTCCCATCCTTGACCACCCGACCTCCCTGCCTCAACTTCCCAGCCCTCACCCAAGTACAAAGAGTCCTCCTGAGTGCCAGGAAGGCGGGCGGGGGCTGGGTGGCGGAGCAGAGCCTCACAGGGGGACAGCTCATATTTATCCTCCTCTTCTTCCTCCTCCTCCTGGGCTTCTGGGAAGGGATGCTGAGCACAGGGAGGACGAAAGAGATGCAGGAGCCGTGGTGGCCGCTGCCTCCCCCCACCCCCACCCCGGCTCCGCAGCTGAACTTACCCTGCGTCTCCAGGTCCCTGGGGCAGACAGAGGAGATGGGCAGGGGTCATCTTTTCTCCAAGCAGGGGAGTCTGGATGGGAGACTGGTGAGACTGTCCTCATCTCCTCGTGGCCCAGTCCCTCTCTAGCACAATGACTTACTCTCTCTCCAAAATATAATAACCCATCTGCACGCTTACAGTGGCCTCAAAGGAACCATTCATGATGGGCCTTTCCAACACTGCAGCAAGGCCAGTGAGGCGTTTTGGAGATAAGGGGGTCTCACAGCCTGTTCCACCTATGCCAGTCCCCTACCCCATGCATCCCTAATTCTGACCGAGACAGGTGGAAGAGCTAGGCCCCAGTGACTTAGCAGCACCGGACTATAATGGGCAGGAGGTATCCAGAGTCCTCAGGGGAGACTCGACTCGCAGGGGCTCCTATGCATCTGGGGGTTGGTCACTTACCTGCACATCTTGGGGGTGGAAGGTGTGGCCCCAACCTGCAATCAGAGTCCAGTCAGCTCTGCCCAAGGGGCCCTGTGTTTGTGTCAGCCAGACCATGCACGATCCTGGGACATTCACATCCATGACGGTATGAATGGCATCCCCTGGAGTTGTGTGACGGCAGCCTGGGACCAGGGCAGCAGGAGGAAGAGTCTGGGGGCAGAGCTAGTGCCTGTGGGAAGCTGGCAGTGGGGGAGCCCTAGTGTTCCCAGGGGGTGGAGGTGCATGAATAGTCTCACTGGGCATGGAGGGCCCAGGCAGAACCAGCACCGCTCTAAGGATGCCTGTGCCCAGGAAAGGGACATCGAGGTGGAAACGAGAGGAGGGCAGAGGAAAGAGAGGAGCCCAAGGACTCACCTGGCCTTGCTCCTGCTGAGCTTGTCCTGGAAAGAGTCAGGGAGGAGAATAAGGGGGTGGTCAGTTCATGTGGGATGTCTCTCCCTGCCCGGAGTCCTGGGCCCCAGGGGTGGGCAGGTCTGTGCACCTGGAGCTGCCCCCAGAACCAAGTCTCACCATGGCCAAGGTAAAGGAGCTATGCCTCCCCAGGGTCCAGGTTCTGCCACAAATGGCCTGGGGACAGGGGCCCTATTGTTCCCATCATTTGCATCGTGCAAGCACCAGGAAGGTGGGCCTGCTGTGGCCTCCAGCCCCAGACCAACTTCGTCCATGCCACTCCCCGGGCCCAGCCCTAGCTCCCCCACCACTGCATCCCACAGCTGCATCTCCTGCCCCCTGCCCCAAGGGAGGAAGAGCTTCCTCCTCAATGCCCAGGCCCGCAAGGCTGGGCCAAGGGCCCAAAAGCTTCCTGGTCAATGTGGCCTCCTCCCAGAGACTCAGACTCTACTCAGGATGAGCCAGACCAAGCCCTTTCCCAGTTCACAGAAGACAGGGTATTAATGGCAGATCCAATTAAAAACAGGAGACCATCCCTGCAGACACTTTTCTTAAATCCTTTGTGCCTGCTGTCATTTGCTGGTGAGTGACGATCAATGATCAAGATGGAGGTTAGTGAAAAGCTCAGAAATACACACTTATATTGAGTTTGACAGCTTCCTTTCTTGGTGGATGTAGTTATTCATTCAGTAGGTAGTCATTGAACATCCACTATACACCAGGCACTGTTCCAGGTGCCGAAGGTGCTGTAGGAAAGTTAAACAGGCAGGCATTACACATGAATTTCCTCACTGGATCCTCACAATAGCTTCATGATGCAGGTCCTAATTTTATCCCTGCTTTGCAGACGAGGAGAATGAATGTATTAGTCAGCTCAGGCTGCCAACACAGAGTACCACAGGCTGGGTGGCTTAAACAACAGAAATTTATTTTCTCACTGCTCTGGAGGCTAGAAGTCCAAAATCAAGGTGCTGTCAGGGCTGGTTTCTGGCGAGAGCTCTCTTGCTGGCTTGCAGATGGTCAGCTTCTTGCTGTGTCCTCATATGGCCTTTCTTCTGTGCATGCAGGGAGAGAGAGAATTCTGGAGAGAGAGAGATTTCTGATCTCTTCTAATAAGGTCACCAGTCCTATTGAATCAGGGCCCCACCCTTATGACTTCATTTAACCTTAATTACCTTCTTAAAGGCCCCATCTCCAAATATAGTCACACTGGGGGCTAGGGCTTCAACATATGAATTTGGAGGGAGACACAATTCAGTCCAGAGCACTGAGACTCTGAGAAATGGAGTGACTTTCCCAAGGTCATACAATTAGTAAGTGTTGGAGGTGGAATTCAAGCCAAGGTTTGCACAACCCACAGCCTGTGCACTAACCACTGAGCTTCCTGTACCTCATCTAGGATTGGGTCCTGACCCTCCTTTCCTGTGATGGAATTAGAAACATCAGTAATCACTGGTTTCCTTAGGGAGCCCATAACTTCCCGGTGCTCTGTTACCCGAGTGAATTTTGGAACTCTGACTTCTGAGACGTGTTGAGGCAAAAAGAAAGGGCAGGGCCTGGTGTCTGACTCTGTTTAGACCAGGGAATGAGGGAACACAGAAGAGGATCATGAATATAAGATCCTTCTAGGACACTGTAACTTTCCTGTGGTTATCATTTTGGTGATGTCCTGGCTGTTGGCACAAAGGAAGAATGAAGGCCAAGAACTTGTGTCTTTGGAGGCCATGGGGCTGGGGGAACTGGGGAGAGGGTCCAGGGTTGGAGCTGGCCACAGTCTTCAAAGGCCACATGATTCCTGAGACCTGCAGGCAAACGGACACTTAAGAAGCTATGAACTCAGCCATAAAAAAAAAAAGAAAGAATGTCATTTACAGCAACGAGGATGGACCTAGAGATTATCATACTAAGTGAAGTAAGTCAGCCAGAGAAAGACAAATATCATATAATGTCACTTATATGTGGAATCTAAAAAATAGTACAAATTGGGAGTTCCCTGGCGGCCTAGTGGTTAGGATTCCGGGCTTTCACTGCTGTGGCCTGGGTTCAATCGTGGCATGGCCAAAAACAGAAACAGAAAAAAATCTTTAAATAAATAAATAAAACTTAAAAATAATATAAATGGGGCTTCCCTGGTGGCGCAGTGGTTGGGAATCTGCCTGCCAATGCAGGGGACGTGGGTTTGTGCCCCGGTCCAGGAAGATCCCACATGCTGTGGAGCAGCTGGGCCCGTAAGCCATGGCCACTGAGCCTGCGCGTCCGGAGCCTGTGCTCCGCAACGGGAGAGGCCACAACAGTGAGAGTACAAATGAACTTATTTACAAAACAGAAACAGAGTCACAGACATAGAAAACAAACTTATGATTACCAAAAGGGAAAGAGGGGAGAGGGATAAATTGGGAGTATGGGATTAACATATACACACTACCATATATAAGAGAAACAACAAGGATTTACTGTATAGCACAAGGAACTATATTCAATATCTTGTAATAAATTATAATGGAAAAGAATCCCCTAAAAACTATATATACATACATGCACACACATATATATGGCCAAATCACTTTGCTGTACACCTGAAACTAACACAATATTGTAAATCAACTATATTTCAATAAAAAAGAAGCTATGGGGACTTCTCTGGTGGCAAAGTGGTTAAGAATCCACCTGCCAATGCAGGGAACACAGGTTCGAGTCCTGGTCCAGGAAGATCCCACATGCCACGGAGAAGCTAAGCCCGTGCGCCACAGCTACTGAGCCCGCGTGTCACAACTACTGAAGCCCGCGCGCCTAGAGCCCATGCTCCGCAACAAGAGAAGCCACTGCAATGAGAAGCCTGCGCACCGCAACGAAGAGTAGCCCCCACTCACAGCAACTAGAGAAAGACCGCGAACAGCAACGAAGACCCAAAACAGCCAAAAATAAATAAATTTATTTTTTTAAAAAAAGAAGAAGCTATGAAAAGTCATTGGGGTGGCTTAAGGGGGGCCCATTTGGTGTCATGGGAAAAACTGTGCAAAGAAAAACAAAGAATCCAGGCTTGAAGTCAGGGACAAGCATCTCCTCCCGACCTCCACTCCGCAGCTGACCTTTGTTCCACATTTGGGCCATAAGGCAGGGGGCAACTTCCCTCACCAAGAGGACCTGCTGTCAAAGTCAGCAAGATGCTCTAGACACCACCCCGCTGCAAACTCCAAACTGAGTGGGTTTCCCAGTCCAGACTGCCCTTGCCACAGCTACCTCCTCCTTCTGTTCAGGGCTTTGCATAGGCAAATGCCAGGGCCTGGGTGAGGGAAAGAGCCCCATGCAGAGGGTGGAATCCATGCCTTCTGGGTGGGGGCACTGGCCTGGGCAGATGAGGGAGAAGGGGATGGAAGGAGGCTGCCTCACAGCTTTGTGTCACCGCAGCCAGCCCTGTAGCACCGTGCTTCCTGCTGATGGCACAGGCAGATTTGGACAACCTCTTTCTCCATCTTTGGCACAGGACTGTTTTCTGTACAATCATAGCTATTCCCTCGGGATGAATTCCTAGAAATGGAATTACTGGAAACTCACATTTCAAAGGTTCCATTGCCCCATTGTCTGGCAGCACCTGAGTGCCAGTTTTATGGTCCTTCCATAGCACACAGTGATTCTCCACATTTTCCAGATCTCAGCTGCTGATCTCCAGTAAGAACAGGCCATCGTTTTCAGGCCCAACATAGTCTAAACCCACCCTAAGAAAACAAACAGCTCTCTAGAGCAGTGTTCCCCCACTTGCATGATCACAAGAATCAACTGGAGGGCTTGTTAAAAGTCTTAGACTCCCAGACCCTCCCTGAGAGCTTAAGAACGGGATGTTCCAGGAGGGAAGTGGGAATCTATATTACTGTAAACAAGCATCCTAGATCAATCTTATGATCAGTCAAGTTTGAGAAACGCTGCTCTAAGGGAAACGTTCTGAGAAGATGTGACTCCTAGGACATCTTTAGAATCACACTCAGCCTTTAGCTCATGGGGAACATGGGGGTGGCCAGCAGAGAAGAAACAGGACACAGACCCTACCCTCCAGGGGACCCTCCGAGTGATGGAGAGGCCCCAGGAGACATTCAATCTCTCTGTGCTGCAGTCTCCCCCTGTGTAAGTGGGGGTGGGAACAAGGCACTCCCTGTGATGGAGGCGCTTCTGTTGAATGAGATGAAACACATGAAACACACAGCACATGTGCGGTAAATATCAGCTCTTCCTGAGTAGGTGGTGCCACCGTCCATGGAGTTGTTGCCAGCAGACAGGGAAGGTGGCCAAGGCTGGCAGGGGTCCCCGGTGTGAGCGACATGGGAAGCATTGTGAACAGGAGGGGGTGATTTCTGAGGACCTGGTGGAGGACAGGTAAGCAGGCTGTGGCCAGAGGTCTCAGAGGTGAGAGAGTGCAGGCTGCGGAGCAGGGGAAGATGAGGTGTGGTGGCTGGACCCCTAGAGGCTGAAGGTCTGCCATTCCCACTGGCTGTGGATCACTTCCTGTGTTTGGGGCCACTTCCACCGTATGAATCCTTGCCTCCATTCACAGAAGCCAGATGAGGCCTTCCCAGCCTCTCTTACGGCTGGGGTGCAGGCATTCTGCCTGTCAGATGCCCCCATGCTGGGCTTTGTATCCAAAGCAGGCACCAAGAGGCATCCACCCGGGACTTCCCTCGTAGCGCAGTGGTTAAGAATCCGCCTACCAATGCAGGGGACAGGGTTCGATCCCTGGTCCGGGAAGATCCCACATGCTGCAGAGCAAATAAGCCCGTGCGCCACAACTACTGAGCCTGCATGCCACAACTACTGCGCCTAGAGCACGTGCTCCGCAACAAGGGAAGCCACCGCAATGAGAAGCCCACGCACCGTAACAAAGAGTGGCCCCTGCTCGCCACAACTAGAGAAAGCCCGTGCGTAGCAACGAAGACCCAAAGCAGCCAAAAATTAAATAAAATAAAATAAATACATTTATCTAAAAAAAAAGATGAAGAGACTCTGTCTCTTATTAAAAAAAAAAAAAAAAAGAGGCATCCACCCTAGGGAGGAGGTGACAGCTATATCCTGTTTCCAGAGGCCAGGGAGGCTGAGATCCCAAGGGGTACCACCCAGGGCCAGGATCAATAGTGTTGGCCCAGAGGTGCCTCCACTAGGCCAGCTTGGCTATGGCCTTTGAGACATTGTTCCTGGCTGGTTCTCTGGTTCTCCTGGAGATGTGGTGAGCTACAGAATATTTTTAATAAATTATTTTCCAGCCTAAACTAGCTAAGGTTGGTTTCTCTTACTTTCAGTGAAGAAATCTAACTTAGGGACACAGCATCAGTGGGATCACCACATGGATACCAAGAAGCCCAAACTGTGAGGCGAGGTACAGGTGTCTCATGGGAAAGTGGGGCCAGGTAGAAATGAGTATCATAGCTTTACATTTCTATACTCTTGGGCCTTTTATATGACAAGCATTAATTAATTTTATAATTTAAAAATATCAGTCAGTACAGATTAAAAGATAAAAAGAAGGAAAGAAGAGAAAGAAGGAGGGATGACCTGGATTTCAACCATGAGGAAGCACCAAGAGAAGGACAGCCTAGGAGAAGGTAGGGCCCTGGGAGTGGGGGTCAGGGCCAAGGGGAGTTCCGGGGTGTGGGGCTGGGGCCACCACAGGACAGCCAGGTCCCCTAAGCCAGGGAAGTAGGGGGAAAAGTGGGGAAATAAAAAAAGAAGCATGCTGTTAAGACAAAGATTCTTCTCCGGGGAGAATGGGAATCCATCGGGGCAAGTGGCAGGGGTGGCGTAGAAAGAGGGAAGGAGAACTTTCTGACCATGAGTTAGGGCCTCAGAGGATGGGGAGGGGAGAGCAGGTCCTGTGAGGGGTGAGGGAGAATGAATGAGTCCTCAGGCTATTTTGACCTGAGCAAGTAGTCAAGTTAGAGGCCCAAGAAGCTCCTAGGGAGGGGCCTGAGGCCAACTGAACTGTCTGTGATTGGGTTAAATTTAATGTCGGGGACCATCTTGAAGGAAGGTGGTTGAGAGGAGGGAGAGAAGGGGTCCTCCAGTGCTGAGAAGCGGAGGGCAATGTTGGGGCTGCTTTAGCACAAGCTGGCAGAGGTCCCTTCTCCTCCCCCCCCGCCGCTGCCCTCCCAGGCCTGCTGACTCAGCTTACTCTGGTGGCAGCTGTGACACGCGACAGAGGGCTGAAGCATGGACGACACACAGACCAGCCTCCTAAGAGGGGTCTCTGGCCCCTGTCCCCCACTGGTGCACGATCATGGATTGCTGCAGCTTCAGAGGTTTGTGACAGACTCTCCTTCCATCTCTCTGAAAGTAGATACAGAACTTGGTGTGTGGTTTGTGTTTTTCTGGGGGGCAGTGCACGAGATTTCTACAGATTCGCCAAGGGTTAGGGTCGGGGCTGAGGCTGGTTTTCCCTGGCCTCTAGGGTAAAGTGCACAAGCCGGCACTGCCCTGGTCCCCTCTGCCCCTGCTGGGGTGCTCCGTCTCTGTCCCACACACCCTGCCCTTCCCTGTTCGGGAACTTGCTCACAACAGGTTCGTTCATGATGTAGCTCTGCCTGGAATCCTTGCGTGGCCCTCCCCACCATGGCTCCTTGAATGGAGACAAAGGCTTCTTGTTGCCTGGTAAGATCAGCCCTACCTACCTCTCCAGCCCCAGCCCTTCCATTTTCTCCCCACAGACTCACTCACGCTCACCTTCTCTCTGTGGTTCCACCATGACTAGGCCCAGTTGGCCCATTCTGCACTCTGCTGACTTAAGGAAATTTCAGGTGGAAGGAATTTAGATATTTATTGTCCTTACAGAATATGACAGAGAGAAAGCACTCTTAAGTATAGCAAAACACGGAAATTCCCTGGTGGTCCAGTGGTTAGGACTCTGCACGCTCACTGCTGAGGGCCTGGGTTCAATCCCTGGTCGGGGAACTAAAATCCTGCAAGCCACATGGTACAGCCAAAAAAAAAGAGAAAAGTATAGCAAAACACAGTAAAAAAAAAAAAAAAAAAAGAGAGAGAAGAAAAGAAAGAACAAAGGAGTCTCTTATAGTATGTTATACTTTAAGAATTTTAACCAACCCCCACAAAGCCCACTCTCGTGGACTCTGCAACTGGCAATCTTCACAGATGGTGCGAGCACCTTGTGCCCCCCAGACCCCAGCCCTCTCCCTCCACCTCAACTCCTTACCTTGCAGATCACCAGAGCTCCTTTAGGTGTCTTTAAACTTGATGCATTAGCCCACTGCTGAGATTCTGCCCTTAGGAGAACCCAACAGATGTCCCAGTAGCAGGAAGCCTGGGTAAGATGGGGGCAGGATGGCTGCGAACACTTATAATAGTACCTGGCTCTGTTCATCTCTTTCTAGTCTCAAACAGTCTCCTTACCTGGGGGCTGTGCACTTGCCTTTCTTCTGCAGGAACACTCCCGCCCCTTGCCTTCCTCTTCCTTCAGGCCACAGCTGAAGTCACCCTCAGCAGGGGTCCCAGACCACGGCAGTCTGTCCCCGACACACTCTCTGGGCTCCCACCGTAATTAAATCTATGGGTACATATCAGGGCTAGACTGTGGACTCCCACTCAGCTGTAAGAGCTCTCAATGGGTAGCAACTGTGTCTGTCCAGTTCACTGCCAAATCCCAAGTGCCCGGCCCACAGCTTGGCACAGAGCAGGCTCTCAAAAAATATTTGCTGTAGCTGCACTCATTCTTCACCGCCTGCTCAAAGACACCACCTCCCGCCAAACAGCCTCCGTCTCCCCTCTGAAAGGCCCATGGCTTGCTCCTAACCCCCGTGCCTAGGCTGAGCAGTGTCCTGAGGCCCTTTCCCTGTTTATCTGCTTCTCTAAATGCAAATGGTTACCAAGGACTCTTCTCTGGGTACCTTTGACCCTGCCCTCACTCTACTGGATCCTTTCCTCTATTTACCTTAATGAGTGGAGTGGGGGGCATCTATTCTTCCCCCCCACTCTCCCTGCACTCCACCCCACCCCACCCCGCCCCCGGCCTTGGCCAGATGTAGTATGGCCCTGCTTAGCCTTCTTCCTTCTTCAGCTCATATCCGGAGAGCCAGGCATCTCCTGTTGCCGTTGCTTCCTTGTTCCCTTCTCTCAGGACTGATGAGCAGAAAGAGTATGGACAACTGGCCTGCCTTCTACCCTCCCCCTAGGAGAGACCTGGCGCTGCCACTCACGGATGTGTCTGCATCTGCACATCCTTCCTTGATAGGTGTGGAGAGCCCTGAGATCACCCTCCCCACCTTTACCAACGGAAAAGCTGAGACCAGAGTGGAGATGGATGCTGGGCCTTGGGCCAGAGCCATCTAATTATGTACACAAGACCAAAGTCCTCAGTGCCTCCCACCCCATCGTCCCGGCTGCTCTACGGACCTGAGCGGTTGTTCCACCGCAAAGGGCGGCCCCTGGTGGTGAGAAGAAGTGTGGTGGCCTGTCCCTCACCCCCTAGACTGGCTGCCAGAGGAAAGGGTGTGGCCTGCAGGACCACCACCAAGGGCTTCATCCAGTTGTCGGTGCAAGAAAAAATCAGCAGAAATCTGTGAAGTCCTACACAAATGAAAGATTAGAAAAATATGTACAAACAGTATTCAAAACCTTAAAGATAACTTCAACTATAATTCCACTATAGGTGGAAGGTGTTACTAAAACAATGAATTTGTTTATGGTTTTTAAATGCCAGTTTAAACAAACTTTTACTGAAAGCATTTGTGCGCTAAGGCTCTCTCTCCCCAAATGGGAATCTTGCTGTTGCCTCAGGATGTGTAACCAGTATAGGTGCAGGTACTTTCAAGTATAGAATATGTATGTTCCTGAGTCGCTCCCAAGGCCCTGAGGGGGAAAGAACCCAACTTTTGGGGCACCTTACCCTTAGACACATTTTCTGTCATGACTTCATAACACTGCCCTGTTACTTTAACTGCACCCTGCTGGCTGGATCTTCAGGAAGCAGGGATAGGCATTAAATGGCTTTGGCATATCCTTGGGCAAGTCACACAGGCTCTTACTGATTCAAGAGTCTGGTGCTAAATCCTGGAATGCAGGAGAGAATGGGCTCTTATAAAGACTGCACCGATGGGGCAAGGGCTGTCTCCAAGTTTCTATGGTAACTATCTCTCATCTCTAGGGGCAGAGGGGCTACTTAACAAAAAGCTGGTTGTCTAGTTACTGAACCCAGGTTTGGCTGCTCCCTATTCAGAAGCCAATAATTTGAGAGGCAAGTGTCAGTGGAAAGGAAAGGTGCTTTAACCAGAAGAGTGGGCAATCTGGGGAGAAAGTAGACTCGTGTCCAGAGACCAACTCCAAAGATTCTGCTCAGTCATGACAGTTTTTAAAGGGAAAAATGAGGGGGAAGAATCTCAGTGAATCATCGAGGCAGGAGGTTGGGTTCTGCATCATTCTCCACTGAGTGCAGACTGGCTGACTCTTCAGGTGTAATCTTGCCTGTGTGATCTGCCTGCAGGATTGCTAAGGGGGCAATTGCGGAGAGAGAGCTAGTCATTTTTTAACTGCTTAATTCTTTATTCTTCTTTTTATCTAGGAAAAGACTCAACAGGTTAGAGCATAAGTCAGGAGTTAGTTTCAATTGCTTAGTGAACTCACTCCTGTAATTAGGTTCTTTTAAGGAACAGAAATGGGCAAACAGGAAAGGGGCAAAAATGCTTTCAGTCTTTTTTTTTTAATTTTAATTTAATATTGGAGTATAGTTGATTAACAATGTTGTATTAATTTCAGGTACAGCGAAGTGATTCAGTTATACATATACATGTATCTGTTCCTTTTCAAATTCTTTTCCTATTTAGATTATTACAGACTATAGAGCAGAGTTCCCTGTGCTCTACAGTAGGTCCTTGTTGGTTATCTATTTTATATATACCAGAGATGAACAGAGCCAGGTACTATTATGTACATGTCAATCCCAATCTCCCAATCTATCCCCCCAACCCTTCCCCACTGTTTTCAGTCTTAACAGAAATACTTGGAAAACCAAGCCTTTGAGAACTTCCCAGGCAGCAATGGACATGCTTAGAGACCACCTAACCAGTACATATGACCCCTACTCCAGTTACCAAAGGGAATCTGGGCGTTCTACTTTGAATATCCTTTCTAGAGTTGTTTCTAATTTTTCCAAGATTAAATTTAGGAGTATGTCTAGGAAGCAGCTGGTCTCCACCCAACTACAGAAGAATAAACTCTCACTGACATTACAGGGTCGTGGCTATACCGTCATAAACTAAGTATTTTCCTATCTACCTTGATGATCAGGGTCACAGCAGTATATGGCCAGATCAGAAAGTGTAAACTCTGAAAATGGGGTTGGAGACAGAAAGTCCGATGTGTTGCTGGCCACTGTGGTGTCACTGCTCCTGATACAGGTGTAACCTGAATCCTCACTTGGGAGCCAGAAATCAGCTGAGAAGAGGCTTCAGGAGAGAGACTGCCCTGGCCCCGGAAGGTGGGTGAAGTGGGGCCTCAGCACTGCTCATCCCACCAGACAGGCTGGACCCTTGAGCTCCTGACTGGCACTGAAGGGTTTGGGTAAGTCCCTGCTGTAGTGTCTCAGTGGATACTTACGCGACCCGGGAAGTTAGGACAAGAGTCCTGGCGCTTGACGCTGAGGTGTGAGCACTTTGAGAGCCAGCATACTGAATGAGAGTGCCCTGGTTATTACTTCCGGTCGGCGCCTCATTGTTATCTGGCTCTGCCATATAAAGCTGATGCCTGGGCGCAGGGCGCTGAGAGCGGTCACACAGCGTGGACCGAACATCCTGACCTATACCCCAGAACTCGAAGGACCCTGGCCTTCCCTGGGCTTCTCCAGGAGACCTGCAGGCCACACAGAGACCCCAACAGGCTTAGTCCTGCCTCAAGGTCCGGGCTGCTCCTCGCTCCAGGAAAAGGGAGTTCGCTCCAGGCGTTGGAGGAGAGGGTCAAGGAGGCAGACTCTGCGTCCCTCCAAGGCAGCTGGCCCAAGCGTCCACCGGCCATCCCCTTCCCCGGCAGTCCCAGCCTGGTAGGGAGGGCGGGGCTCTGGATCGCTGAGAAGTGTTCGGGCCGGCGACCCCACGGTGGAGCGGTGTGTGCGGGGGCGGGGAGCCAGGCTGCGGGGAGAGAAGGGCCCTCTTCCCCACAGCAGGGGAGCCCACACCCCGCACCGGTAAGCCCACCTCGCTAGACGCTGACTTCCGGTCGTGAGCGCCACCCTCCCCGAAGCCCCGCTCCGCCCCCACTGCCTGCTGGGATCTGTAGTTCGTGGGGGAGGGACCAACGCGGCCGGTGAGCGCGTTTGTGTCTGTGTGTTTGTGTGTCTGTGAGTGTGTTTCGAGGTCCGCTGTGGCGTCTCTGTCCTCCTGATCTCTCCCCCGAGGACCCACTGGTCCCGGGCTTGGCGCAGGGATCGCAGGCCACCGCTCCCGAGGTCCCGCCCCGCGGCCCACTCTTGCCGGGATTTGTAGTTCGGGCCTGGGTGGGGCCGCAGGTCGGGGGTCCCACCTGGGCCCGGCGTGGTACCATCTTTATTCCTGCTTTTTCCCGCGTGCCCTGGTTCTGGACAGTAGATATGGCGCGGTGTCGCAACTCCAGCCGAGCTCCCCCTGGCCCTTCCCCCGGTCCGCCGCCCCCGCGATGTATATGCCGGCGCCTGGAGGACAAGACGCTAGATGCTAAACTGAGGCACGAAGGTGGGCGCGCTCTGGCCGGGTAGGAAGGTAGGGAAAGCCAGAGTGAGGACTTGGCCTGGGAGGCCCAGCCCAGGCCTGCTGGGCAAGGCTGGACTAGGCGACAGTCCAGGGCCCTTTCAGTTCTTAAGAGTCTGCGATCAATGGTGTCTCAAAATGATGACCAGACCCGCCCAGGACTGGCTGGACACATTGGAGGTGATTACCCTATAGAGCTGACAGATAACATTTTTGTCAAATTTAGCAACCCTACAGAAGGAGGCCAGGGAGGGAAAAGGACTCTTCTGACCACGAAAACCAAGAAATGGAGCGACACTGGCCCACGGGTTTGCTTTGAGGATCAAGTTGGGGGGTAGGGGCTGTGTGTGGAGGGGGTGTTTTGTAAACTGTAAAGCCCCGGGCATGGGTGAGGTGTTATCTGAACTCTGAAGCACTGGAGAAAAGGTGCTGGGCCTTCAGGAGCCACACTTTAAAGGAGAAGTTACACTTACTGTAGTTAAGTAAGATGTCCCATTAGGAGAAGCTGGGTCGTAGGTACGGGGAACCTCTCTATACAATTTTTTTAAGTGGGATGCAAATGGGTCGAGCCAGGACTTAACCATTTATAGGTTACAGAGCCCTTTCATTTGTTGACAGCCTTATTGAATGTGCAATTCAGTGTTTTTAAATATATTCTCAGTTGTGCAATTGTCACCACAAACGAATTTGAGAACATTTTCATCATCCCCAAAAGAAACTTGTACTGATTAGCAGTCACCCCCTAAAGTCCTCATCCCCTCGGACCCTAGGCAACCACTAATCTACATCCTGTTTCTACAGATTTGCCTATTCTGGACATTTCACATAAATGAAATCATATATGTGGTCTTTTGTGTCTGGCTTCTTTCACTTAGCATGGTATTTTAAAAATTCAGGTTGTAGCATGTATCAGTACTCTGTACTACTTTTTTTTTTTTTTTTTTGCGGTACGCGGGCCTCTCACCGCTGTGGCCTCTCCCGTCGCGGAGCACAGGCTCCGGACGCGCAGGCCCAGCGGCCATGGCCCACGGGCCCAGCCGCTCCGCGGCATGTGGGATCTTCCCGGACCGGGGCACGAACCCATGTCCCCTGCTTCGGCAGGCGGACTCTCAACCACTGCGCCACCAGGGAAGCCCTGTACTATTTTTATAAATAAAACTTTTTTTTTTTAAATTTTAAATCCCAGTATCTAGAGGATGAGCAGGGGTAGCCCCTTATGTACGAAGGACTCAGAGCTGGCACTAGCATTCAACGCCGAGAGCAGGATGGGTCTTGGGAGAGGAGGCGGGAGAGCAGTGATGTGCAGTGATAGTTGGGAGGGGAGGCCGGGGGTCCTACCACCTGGCTCTGCATTTACTAAGGGAGTCCCGGAGCACGTTATTTTGACCCCACTTGGCCTCCATTTTCTCATCTGTAAAATAAGGATAATAAGAGGATTTACTTTAGAGGGCAAATGGGAGGATCAAATGAGAAAATCATATGAAGGACAGTGCCTGGCATATAGTGCCAACGCTCAAGAGTGTTATCTCTTATCATGAACTTACAATGGCGTGAGCACCCAATGTGACCCTGGCCTTGAGGGGGTAAACCTGTCCTCTCGTGTCCTCCCTGGGGACCAGTCCCTCCTGCCCCAGTCACTCGGTACCCTCCCCGCCACCACAATGCTCCACCAGAGCTTCTCCTGGCCCGCTCATTCATGCTGTACTGGACAGTCCTATTTTCCCAACAGGTCACCAAGGAATTCTGGGGTGTCACCATCCAGGACGCCTCTGAGCACCCAGCAGTGATTGAAAAGAAACTTTCTAATCATGAGCTTTATTCAGAAAATATGGCCAATCCAGACCCCCAGCTCGTCCTCAGAGAAGCTGAAATGATCTAGAAAAATTCACTGCAGATCAAATTTAAAGCCTAGCAGTGGGCTCTCCTGGTGGAGCAGTGGTTAAGAATTGGCCTGCCAATGCAGGGGACATGGGTTCGAGCCGTGGTCTGGGAAGATCCCACATGCTGCAGAGCAACTAAGCCCGTGCGCCACAACTACTAAGCCTGCGCTCTAGAGCCCGCGAGCCACGACTACTGAAGCCCACACACCTAGAGCCTGTGCTCCACAACAAGAGAAGCCACCGCAATGAGAAGCCCTTGCACTGCAACAAAGAGCAGCCCCTGCTCGCCACAACTAGAGAAAGCCTGCGCACAGCTACGAAGACCCAATGGAGCCAAGGATAAATGAAATAAAATAAAATAAATTCATTAAAAAAAAAAAAAGACTCGCAGCATCCTGAGTTAGCGCCTTCAAAGGAATATTCTGGGGGAGCTGTGATATTGGAATTTTCAGGTATTGCAACAGATCCCTGCCATCCCGCCACTGCCCCGCCCCGCCCAGGCTGAGGAAATGCAACACGTCAGCCTGATCTGCCCCTCTGGATTGGAGTCAGAGGAGCCAGAAGGTACTCCTCGTCTAGTGCTGCATTTTACAGATGGGAAGCAGGCTCAGAGAGGGCCATATGGCAGGGTAGTTAGAGAAGCCAGGTTGGGATCTCACTTAGGGAGAATCCTTTGCAATTTCAGGAAATTCTTAGCCCCGGAAATCAGTCCATAGCCTGGGTCTATGGGCACAGAACCAGAAAGCTGGCCATCTTGGGCGGCTGCAGACCTTGGCCAGAGCCCAAGTAGCCAAAGCCTGGAAGTCAGTCTCCGATGCCTTCCTCTCCTGGTTTATTTTAGCCAGATGTTTGTTTTAGAAGTAGGAGTTTATTAATAATAATGGCAGGCTGCACGTGTCTAGGCCTTTATTCTTTTCAAAGAGGCTCCCATAGGTCATCTCATTGGATCCCCACAATCCCTCAAGGTAGGAGGGCTGGGGTAATTGTCCTTGCTTCACACGTGAGGAACCTGTGGTTCAGAAGGTTTAAGTGACTTTCCCAAGGTGACAGAGGCTAGGGCACTGCTAGAATTTGAGGAGTTTGCTCTCTGTTAATTCAGTTAAAAAAAAAAAATTTTTTTTTTTGGAGTGTCTCTTACCTGCTGAATGCTCTGCTGGGTGCTGGGGTCACAAGGATGACCTGATATGGTCCCTGGGCTGGAGGAGCTAACAGTGTGATGGGGAAGGCACACATGGCAGATGAGAGAAAGGAGTGGTGAGGGGACTTTCTGGGGTGGTAGAAGTGTTTTATATCGGTAGGGATGTGGGTTGTATGGGTGTTTGCATATGTGAAGACTCATTCAAACGCACACTTACGATTTGTGATTTTCACTGTAAATTTTACCTTAAAAATGCAGAAAGTGGAAATGCTCTGCCTAGCATAGCATAGCATAGCATACACTATGCCTAGTAGGGTCTTGGTGGGGCTCAGCTGTCCAGAAGCGGGCCAGGGGTTGACTAGGTGGCCCATGGATATAATTCCATCTTTGCTCCCAGGGTATGGCTGAAAAGTTTTCCCACGGAGTCTGAAGAGTCAGATGGCCCAGTGGCCTGATGCCCAGAGCACCCAGGGAGGACTAAGGAGGAGGTCAGGGGTTACTGCACATTTCGAGGAGGGGTATTTAGGCTGAGTCTGTAGGTGACCAGTTGGTCAGAGGAGGGTGGACACGTGGGGCGGTTTTTAAGCATTACTCAGGAATGGAGTGTAGTCGCTCAGTGTTGTCCGGGTGGAAAGGAGTAGAACCAGGCTTTGAATTGCTTCCCTTACCCAAGGCCCCATCAGTGGGCCTTGGAGAAAGTCATGCTGGTTGGAATTTTCCAAGCTGCTTCCCAAGAAAGGAAAAGTCCTCTTACCACTGCATCAAGGGACCATGTCCTAATCCTGATGCCTCTTGTCAGCTGACATTTGCCAGGGTTTGCCTGCTGTGCAGGGCTCTCTCCATTCAGAAGCAAAAATGGAAGTGTGGGCCACTTGCTGTCCTGCTCACTTCCGGAAGGCCTAGCATCTGGGCGCAGACACTGGCTGGTCTGTTTTCCTCTGAATAAAGACAAGAAGGGTGGGACTTCCTTGGTGGTGCAGTGGTTAAGAATCCACCTGCCAATGCAGGGGACATGGGTTTGATCCCTGGTCTGGGAAGATCCCACATACCGCGGAGCAACTAAGCCCGTGCGCCACAACTACTGAAGCCCGCACGCCTGGAGCCCGTACTCCGCAACAAGAGAAGCCACTGCAGTGAGAAGCATGTGCACCGCAAGGAAGAGTAGCCCCTGCTCACCACAATTACTGCTCACCACAACTAGAGAAAGCCGGTGTGCAGCAACGAAGACCCAATGCAGCCAAAAAAAAATTAAAAATAAAGAATAATAATAAAAAAACCCGAGAAGGGTGAGGAGTTCCAGTTCTAGCACCGGCTTTGAGGCCAGACCAGCCTAGATTAGAATCCTGGTTCTGCTACTGAACTAGCAGTGTGACTCTGGACAAGTTACCTACCCTCTCTGAGCCTCCGGGAGACTTCATCTATTAAGCGGCATAATGACAAATAGTTGTGAAGACTGAACGAAGTCACGTTTACAGCACTGAGT